GGGGGAGCGGCCCCGCCGCGAGCTGCCGTCCGTCCTGCCGCGGCTCCTCATATCCTGCGCGTGGTCCGGGAGGCCTGGCGGCGGCGCGCCGTCCGCCCGTCCGCCTGTGCCCGCAGGTGTCCCAGGGCACGGTTTGGGGAGAGGGCAGGCAGGCCCGGGACTCAGGCCCAGCGGGGAGGGCAGCCCGCGCCAGGGCCGGCCTCCGAGGATGCGCGGTGAGCAGCCCCGCTCGCCTCCGCTCACCTGCCGTGAAGAGTAAGGCAAAGTGACTGGACGTGAATGTGAGGAGCGCGCCAGTACAGCCCGGTGGGCATAACCCAGGAGGCCTCGGACGCCCTCGCCGAGCGCTTCCAGTCCTCAGGTTTTAAGACAAAAGCCCCCAGCGGGAGGGGAGGAGACGCGGCTGCCAGAATGCGGGACGGGTGGGCGGCAGTCCAGTGCGGTGGGCAGTGGGCATCCTGGGCCCGGGTCTGCAGAAGCCCGTGTCGGCGGGGGGGGACTTCGTGTCGGCGGCGGTGACTTTGCAAGCCTGTGGTTCTGGCAGAGTTCTGTAGATGCCAGCTCGTTACCGGGTCTGCTCGCCTGAGAGGATGCCGCCCCAGTGGCTCTTCCTGGCTTGACTTTAGTCACAGGTGATGGAAATTACTGCATTTTGGTTTTGAAGAACTTTCACACTAAGTATTGTGAGAATTAAGGGAGTCAGTCTACCAGTGTCAGATCTTTACGAGACGTTAAGTAAATACAAGGACTCTTCAAACAGTTCGTGAAAAATTCATATATGGAAAAATATTTGCACGTAGGGAGGAAATGCATGCATTTATTTATTTATGTTTGTACCAAAATAAACTTGTACCCTGATCCTTTTTTCCATGAACTTTTTGAAGCCCTCTCTTAATAAATGTTTTCGTCTCTTCTCCTTTTAGACCTTCTTTATGGCTGGTTAGAAAGAGAGTTGTTCCATTAGTTGTTGGCTTTCATCTACTGGATTTGAGGCCCTTAATGCGTTGGTTGTTTAAGTGTGGGCCATTCGTTGGTGGTCTCACGTCTGTGTATTACTGAGTGTTTCTGGAGTCCTAGATGTATGTTAAACAGTAACTTTTGTTTGCCTTTTTACATCTTTGAGAGCTCATCACAGATACTGAATTACACTCAGAGGAAAACTGACCTTCAAACACTGCCCAACTCATTTAATTACACTCAAAAAGGAAAAAAATTGACCTTCACCTCAGGAGGGCCTGAACACTGCACAGATAATTTTTCATATCTAAAGCCCAGTGTAACTAAATGTTAGGAGCATTTAGAAGTCATTCATGTAGGGCCAGCCAGTGGTGGTGGTGCCTGGATCACACAACTTGGTTCAAGTCTGGACTCAACAGCTTGAAAAACATGTTGGACGTGCCCAAAATGCTGAGAGGAGGGTAAAGAAGAGATTGTGGCATTGGCATCACCCCAGGGGTGCTTTCTTTTTCTCTCTCTGGAGAGCAGTGCATCCTATGGCAATTTTTTTTTTTAAAAAGTCATTCATTTAGACTTTAGTAAAATCCCAGAAAGTATCAAAGCCCTTTTTTAAGCCGTTATGGCATTGTATTGATTGAACTACTATCCTCAAGGAGTTCAGACTCAGAAATAGTCATCCTCAACTCAAAAACATCTACTATGTAAGTGATGTACATCAGGAGTTGTGTTAGGTTTTGGAGGGCAATTGTGAGGAACATGATTGCTTTTCCCCTCAAGGTTGCAATAAAGTTTTTTTTTAATTTTATTATCGTTAGTTTATTATTATTTTAATTTAATTTATTATTAATTTATTATTTTAATTTGCATGTGCACTCACCAAAGAGTGACAGAGGTGTGAGGTGAGAAAGCAAGCCGTCAGGTCCAGGACCTGAACTATGGTTGGCCATGGGAGTCCAGTGCCTTAACCACCATGCTACCCGCTGGGCTCTAGCATTTCACTGAATTAAAGTTAGCATCCCCACCTAACTCTGCACCTCAAAATTTACATATTTAAAACAACCCAATCTGCTCTTCCTCCACTTTTCCTCACCTGAATGAATGGTTTCACAGATCTCTCCCACACCCACTCAGCATGATTTGTTGTCTCTGACTATGAACTGTTTGGGTCTAATCCACTATCTCCATCCTATTGCTACCACTCTATTTCAAGCCCCTAATGCCCCTCATCTGAGCTGTTGTTAATAGTGTCATTCCGTCTACTCAAGTACCCTGCCATCCAGTTTTTAAATAAGAGTTCAGAGAAAAACACAAATTGTGTCGTTTTCCCTTCTCAAATCATCCCCATGGCTTCTTACCAAACTGGGAGTAAGACCCAAACTTGCCTTCAAGGTTGCCTATGGGCGGAGCCTTCCCTCCTCTCATGCCTAGCTAAAGATCTGGCAAGTACACGGTCACCTACTCTGGGATCTTTGTGCTTAGCCTAGTTTGTTTTCCCTTTCCCAGCCTTTGTGCATCTCCCTACTGAGGCCTCAGCTCAGATGTCACCTCTGTGGAGGTGGCATTTTCAGAACTCTCAATCTTAGGTAGTTCCCCCAGACTCAGTTTATTAGACCTTAATTACATTGCCCTGTACAGCTTTCTGTATTTTCCATTTTCCTTACTGCACTGTAAAGTTCATAAAGACAGGGACTTGGTTTTGTTCACTGTAATCTTTACCTAGAACAGTGCCTGGCACATAGTAAGCTTCAGTTACAGGGTTAAAAATATTTATGGGCCAGCCAGTGGCTTGAATGTTAAGGTGCCTGGCTCCTACATGGCTGACTCTGCGGTGTGAACCCCATACCCTGTGACGTGAGATATATGCCAAATGCATGTGTTCGCATACTCAAAATCCCAAAGATGGAGAAAGGATTGTGGCATGACCGTTTCCCAAGGGGGGCGTTTACTTACTTCTGCCCTCTTCTGTGGGTGAATGCACCCTCTGACAATTTTGGAGGAAAAAAAAGTTTTAAAACTGCATGGCAAAAAATACAACAACATTTAATAGACACAAAAATGAAAAGTTATTGATTGATAATAATGTATATGGTATTGTCTTTGACTTGACTAATGTATCCATGCTGGGAAAAACCATGTTGTACACTGTAAAGATGTACAGGAATTAAATATAAATTTTAAAAAAGTGGAGTTGGACCAGCCGCTGGTGTGGTGGTTAAAGCACCCGTAAAACCCACATGGCGGACTGCATGTGGTTTGAGTCTTGGACCTGGCAGCCTGAAAAAAACCCTGGGGGCATGTGTGCATGCCAAAAATCCCAAGAGGAGAATGAAGAAGGGATTGCAGTATGGCTAACCCCCAAAGGGCGTGATTTCTCTCCCTCTCTCTCTCTCTCTTTCTCTCTGTGGTAAGCATACATATGTTACAGCAGAAAACTAAAAAAAGCTGCTTGGGGCCAGCGTGTGGCATGGTGGCTAAGGTGACTGACTCCCACATAACCTACCGTTGCAATTCAAGTCCTGGACCTGACAACTTGCAGAGTACTCTATGTGTATCCCCAGAATCTTGAAAGGAGAGCAAGATGGAGAAGAAGGGATTCCATATGACCATTCCCCATGGGGAAGGGAGAGTGTTTTCTTAGTTCGGTTATTTGAGAGTCAGAGCGAGGTATGCGATGTCCTCAGTGGAGTCTTCATGCCGTGGTCCATCCCCAGTCCCTGCCAGCCTGGATAACGGGCAGAATGTGCCTGGTGTACTCACAGAGGTCTCCAGCAACCTCCCATGTGGGTCTGGCTCCCAGAGTGTCATGTTTTACTGCTCTACCACTGTCTAGCCTTGAAATTATTTCTTTTAAAATGTTTTATCATAGTACTCTTTGTTTTCCTAATAAGCATTACGTTTTTAAAAGCAAAGTTAAGCCAGAAATTTGAGTCAAATTTTAGTCTCATAGATCATTGTTTAAATTTCAGGAGGGTACCTTTTGAATTTATTTTCAATGATGATTATCCTATTTCTGTTAGTAATGTCGTCCTTAACTATTTTACTCTGTGTGTCAACATTCTGACAGTTGGATGGAGCACATAGGTAAGTAAAATTATTTAATTGTGTGACTTACTCTGATGTGGTTAAGGTCTCACATATCTCAGTGTATACGACACAGGTTCTCTATGCTGCAGGGTTACAGTGTCTGTATCCTTTCCTTCATTAAAATGACCAAATTCCTACAAATTCTGGTTTTCCGTTTCATTTTGGATAGATACCGAAAGTGTCCTTTTGGTGATATTCGTGTGAGCACATTGTAAATTTTAAATCTTAGTTGCCCACCTGTGGTTAGACTACATTAACGTAATCTATGGTCTGTTTCGTAACTCTCAACTTTAGTGCGATTTAGAAGGTACTTTCCAAGTTAGAAAAAGCTGCTTGTCTAGAAGGTGACAAATTTGTCCTCTGAAAAATGTTGACTTCTCTTTGTCCGCCTTACCAATCCTGTCTGGAGATGCTCTTTAGCTGGGTGGGAGGTAGAGTGAAGCCTGTGGACTGTTCCCTTCTCCTATTTTGAGTTAGCTGCTTCTGTTTACATTTGTTTATAGTTTTGAGTCCATGTTTTCTGTTGGGGTCTAATTTTCTGAAGAACAATTAGTTTTTATATTGAGTGTAAGTTACTTGTGTTCATTGCAGAAAATGTGAAGCATGTAGAAAAACAGATAATAAAACCTCTGCTAATTTGAAAAGCTCATGATTTTAATGAGAAACTTTTCATCTTATTTCTTTATATTCCTGCCAGCTTATGTATCATCTGTCAATATTTGTAGATTTTTACATGTATTAAGATTGGGATTATGCTACTTTGGAGCATTTTGGTTTTGCCTTAATGTCTTGTGAGCAAGTTTTCATGTTTTAAAATATCATTTTAATGATAGCAGGTCCTAATTAGTAAGTGTACCCCATGTAATCCTCAAATTTTGAATACTTTCCCTTTGCTTTGTTTTTTTTTTCTTTTATTCCTATTTAGATAACTTTTGCTATTAGAGACTTAAGAGTTTCTCCACATAGAATATGGCATTTGAAAGTACAAAGCTTTAGATTGATAGTACTTACATATTGTCACATTTGGTAAATGTAGGGACCTTTGTGGACTGACATTTAATTTTTTTTTTTTTTTTTTTGCTTTATAGAAATGCTGAAAGTTATTGTGGAAATGTTTTTACCACATATGAACCATCTTACAGTGGAACAGACTTTCTTTTCACAGATGTTACCAAAGGTATAGTACTATTATTATCTTAGTACTGTTAAAATCTAGCTCTGTTTTTCTAATATATCAAACGTATTTAAAATATAGATAAGTAGTAAAAATAGATTTCATATGACATGGTGATGTTATTGTGATCATTTGGAATTTTCAGACTACAAATCCATTACTAATTGAATTTAAAGTATTTGGACTTAATTTTATAGGTATTTGTATTTTAAAGGTATTAAATGAAAATTTGGGATGGTGATGAAGTTAGCTATGTTCATTTGTTTTATCTTCTCTTTAGTGTTTATTATTAAATTTCAGTGTCTGGAAAAATTTAAGTCTTTGAATGATAAAAAAGAAAAGAGAAATATTGATAAATATCTACTAAGAAAAAATAGTAAATTCACAGATTACCTTTTTTTACTGAAAATTAGTCATGCTTATTTTTTTTTTTTCCTAAACGGAGTAAACTAAGGGTACTTTGGTGCCAAAATGAAATGGAGGCTATATTTGTGATAACTTGTCTTTTATTGGAATGGATTTCTGTGTTTAGCTTTTAAGCAGATAATCATCAAAATTCCCTTTACTCAGTCTCTTGATTATTCTCCATCTGAAAAGTTTTTTAGGATTTACTCTTGACCACCAAAAAAAAAGTTGGCTATGATATAAGTGAAAATGGATGTAGAGCATTAACAGGCTTGTGAGAAACAATATCTTCTTTAACTACCCTGTGTCATTGCCTGTGTTGTTATTGCAGTGTCTTCAGATCATTTTAAATGTTTAGAAAGAGCTGAGTGCTAAGATCTTAGAGCCACTAGCTTTTTATAGACCAAAAGCTTAGTTGTGAGGTATCCCAAACTGCCGCAATTCAGGTCATTTCCACTACCGAAAGGTAGCCTAGTAAATGCGCATGAGTGTCCGTGTGAGTGTCCATTCCTGGGCACCGTTGTCTTCCATTGTGCAGAGCAGTGCCGCCACTCCTCACTTAAAGAACTGCCTCTCAGTGCCCGCCCAGCAGCAGAGGGACCCTTCTCAGTGCTTGTCTCCCTCCCACGGTCAGCCAGAATTCACCACACAGAGACTACGTATTTTGTTTATAAATCTGTACTTTATTGTGCACCCTTAGTAGTATCCAGAATATGTAAAGATGACTCTGTCAGATCTTTACTGTTGTGCTGTGTCTTGTCACTTTTCTTATCTAATGTATACTTTTTCGTGGATAGAACTGTATTATTCTACAGTGGTGTCACATAGCCATTGAAAGATACACACCTTATGGTGCCACAACACACAGATACTTGGTCTTTGTCGTTACCTGAGGAATGCCTTACTACATTTATAGCAAACCCAAAAGTAAACTTTTGATGGTCTTTTTTAAATTGATGATACTAAATAGAATTAAACCACAGAAATGAGAAATAAATCAATTTCTAGCTGAGAATTTTTTTCTCCCTTTGAAGATCATATTGTAAAAATACTTTTTATGTATACTTTTTACTTCAACGTAGTCATTATACCTAAGTATAATACCCAGGATTGTTGCTAATGCAGAAATCAACCATCCCATTGTGGTTTTTTTTTCCTTGAAGATTTGGTTTTTCTAGTGGCGTCTATTATTTTTATTTATGTCCTGATTTGTTTTCACAGACAGTGAAATTATTTGATGACATGATGTTTGAATTAACCAGTCAAGCCAGAGAACTATCAAGTCAAAATTTAGAAATCCAGAATATCCTAAGAAATATTTTACAGGTAGGTCAAATGTATTAGAAAGGGACAAGAAGGGGACATGGTGTGAAGATTTTTTTATGCTAAAATTGATGAGGTTTTTATTCTTCATTAATGGGGCTGGAACCATTGATACATTTATAGAGTTAAAGATGTGAGTACAGAAACATAAATTCTGAGTTTTTTGTGTGATTTCATTGCTAATATCCAAACGCTTACAAGGAGAAAAGTCATCGAATGAGTGTGCCCTGTCAGTAAACTCAGGGCATGTGTGGAATACCAGCCAGGATTCTGGATGACTCGCCCCTCACCCTGCTGCTGGTGGTTCTGAGAGTGGAAGTTCTGCAACACAGGGAACAGTGCTTTGTTCACTGCTACGTCCCGCACACCCAGCAGACTGCCCAGCAGCTCTTCAGCACAAAATGTATGTTCTGAATGAAACGTCTCTCCTTATTTACAGACCATGGTCCAGGTCTTAGGAGCTCTTACAGGATGTGTTCAGCATGTATGTGCCACACAGGAGTCCATCCTTCTGGAAAATATTCACAGTCTTCCCTCCTCAGTTCTCCATATAATCAAAAGTACATTTGTACATTGTAAGGTGAGTGATAGGTATAACTGCACTTTAAAGGGCCTAGAACCAATGAGCAAAGGGGCCGAGTGAAATAGTATTTTTACATTTTCATTAACATTAATAGAATAGCGGAACCAGCAGTTAGCATAATGGCTATGTCATTGGACTCCCACGTAGTCGACCGTGGTTCAAGTCCCGGACCCAGTGGCTTAAACTCAGGCCAGGCATGTGTGCATGCGTGCCCAAGATTCCGAGAGGAGAATGGAGGAGAAGGGATTGCAGCGTGGCCATCCCCCCTGGGGGGTGATTTCTCGCTTTCTATCTCTCTGTCTCTCTCTTTCTGGCGAGCGCATGCGCCCTATAGCAAAAACCTCTCCAAAAACAAAGGAAAAAAAAAAAACCAACATTAATAGAATAGCATTTTCCATATAACAGAGATCACTGGCATGTCAGGAAACATGGCCATTTCAGAATTTTGTTTTGTTTTATCCTATCTCCCCTCAATAAAGAAGTAGAGCCAGCTGGTGATGTGATTAAGCAGCTGGATCCCACATAGCTGACTGGATGCGTCAAGTCCCAGACCCAACAGCTTAAAAGACACGCCAACTATGTCTTCCTGCCCAAAGTCCCAAAAAGATGGAGAAATGGAAAAGGGATTGCTGTGTGGCCATCCACCATAGGGAAGTGCTTTCTCCTTTTCCCTCTCTCTCTGTCTCTGGCGAGCACACATGCTCCCTGACAAATTAAAAAAAGAAAGAAAGTGATGATAGAACATTCGTGCTGAGCTGCAAGGATCTTAAAATTGTTCTTTCAGATGGCATTGGTGGATCAGTGGTCAGTCACCTTAACGATTAGGTGCCTGAACTTCCCTTTACAAAAGGAAGCTAATCCCTATTTAGTCCATCTCCATCTTCCTGAGACAGCTTTAATGCACAAAAGCTGGCCTAGAATTTGTGGGGCCTAGTCAGTTTTGTGGGTGCTCCATGTTGGATGAATGAAAATCGCTGATAATACTTTTCATTGGTAAGAGAGTGCTGAAATGCCATGCACCCAACCTGACATCATCTGCCTTTCAGTTCTATATTTGCAAGGTCATGAAAGGCAGAAATCATATTTTATACCTGTTTACATCTTGCAAAGTATCTGTACAAAGTAGGTGTTTACTGAACATTTGTTTAATGAATGAATGTTTTTTAATAAAAAATATTAAACGTATGGTTTCTAGCAGTATGAGTTAAAGTAAATTTGGCTCTTGAGGTTTTTATGATTTGCTTTTTCTCTCTTTTTATTTGTGATAGAACAGTGAATCTGTGTATTCTGGACGTTTACACCTAGTTTCGGACCTTCTCCAGGCTCTCTTCAAGGAAGCCTATTCTCTCCAGAAGCAGCTAATGGAACTCTTGGACATGGTTTGCTTGGACCCTCTAGTAGATGAGAGTGATGACGTTGTGGGCATGGTCATAGGTGAGTGAAGAAAGCTCACTGTTGGGTGCATGATGTGCACTGACTGAGTCACGTCGGTCAGATGATTGGAGCTGATGTTGTTCTGTTTTCCCCTTATTTACCAGAGGGCATATATACTCACCAGAGAGACAGAGAGAGAGGGAGAGGGAGAAAGCCCTCCCAGTGGGGCAAGGTCATGCTGCAGTCCTGTCTCTACTTGACTCCATTGGAATTTGGGGTGCACACACAGCCTATTTTTCCAGCCCCTGGGGCTGGGGCACGAGCTGCATGGTCGGCCAGGTGGGATCTGGCTTCCTCAGCCACCAGGCTTTGGAGTCCATCCTGAATCTACTAGTGTTGTCTCTAGTGATTTATAATCTTCCATATTATCCATAAACATTTTAAATCTTACTATGTAAGTTTGTAACTCTTTACATTTGGAATATGTAAAATTGATCTTTGTACCTTCACATAGGTTTATATATTCATTTGAAGCTTATAGTAAGTAATTCCTACAACTATCAACAAAGAAGGTTGCAGCATATACCTTCTACAGTCCTCTGTCTTCTGAGACAATAGTTTCCAGATTTTTTTTTAACCATAACATGTAGTAAAAGATGCAGTTAGGGCCAGCAGGTGACATGATGGTTAAGGCGCTGGACTCCTACGTGGCCGACCATGGTTTGAGTTCTGGACCTGGTAGGTTGAAAATCACACCAGGTATATGTTCATGTGTGCCCTAAATCCCAGGAGGAGAGTGAGGAGAAAAGAATTGTGGCATGGCCATGGCCCCTGGGGGATGATTTCTCACTTTCCCTCTCTCTATCTCTGATGAGCACACACTCCCTATGGCAAAAATCTGAAAAGTATTAAAAAAAAAAAGCTGTAGTTTACGTTCTTTCCCAGAATACATGTAAATACATATATGTGTGCATGTTTACAAATGTGTATCTATACACTCACACTTTAAGTCATGAAATATATTCAGTTTACATGTAATGCACACTATACTATTGCTTTTTTAATGGAAAAGAAAGACTTTAGAGTAAACATTACACATATTGTAAGAATTATTGGACAAGAAATTATTGGACAAGAAATAACATTCCCAGCTGAGATGAAAGAGAACCATTAAAGATTTTAAAATAAAAAAGCACTTGAGATAGATTAAGTCATTGAGAAGACTGCTGAGCATAAAAATCTGCTGGTTTGTCCCATCATGAAGTATAAAAGATCAACAAAAAGGAAAGAAAAGAAATTATGAAAGAAAAGTTTCTCTAAGAAACATGGAGTGTAAATCTGGAAGCACCTCGAAGACCATCAGTATTTCAAATATGTGAGGCAAAAATTTTGAACTTAGAATTTTTTGAAGTTGATTTCCAATCAAAGCTTCATTTTTAAACCATTGTAGATTGTATCCTACTTGATTCCAGCCCTCAGTACTCTGATGTACAGGGTAAAGACTGCACTCCTAACTTCAGTCCGGAGAGAGTGCATTGTAGCTAGCCCTTTTGCTCTGTTAACAGACCAGCCCAAAATCTGTTGGCTTGAAGCAGTCATTGTTTTGCTCACTATTTTGTGAGTTTGCAGCTCAGGTGAGGGTCAGCTTAGACACCGCCCCACGTGTGCTGTCACTGACCACTCGTGTGCCGTCTGCTCTCTGGTGCAGCTGGCATTCGCTCACGTGCTGTTGGCAGAGACGGAGGACTCTGGGAGCCTCCTGCACCGTCCAGCAGACCATCTTGCCCAGTGTTTCCTAGAGCAGCAGAAAGGGCGTGTCCTACTACGCAAGCACTTTTCTAATCCTGCTTGCCTCAGTCTTATTAGCCCCTGGCAGTGTTAGTCGTAGGGCCACACCAGTGTCAGCCTGGGAAACTGGTGTGGGAAGGCAGTTATCACTCCGCCTTCACCAGCAGTCGCCACAGACAGAAACAGTCGGTGTGCCTACGGCACAAATTAGTTGTGATTCTTCCTTGTTAGGTTCTCCTTTTCTAACCCATTTATTTGATCGTTTTAGATTAGAATGACACCTACAGAATATTTCAATTACATTAGGGCACAATGTTTATTCCATTGGAACATTTTTAATTTTTTTTAGGGTAAGTGTAAACCTCAGAAATTATTGTTTTATAATTTATAAAAGCCTCAAGTCAAAATGTATGACACATTATTGATAATTATTTTGATACAAATATTTTCTCTTTTTTTTGGAGAGGTATTTGCTATAGGGCATGTGCGCTCACCAGAAAGACAGAGACAGAAAATGAGAAATCACCCCTTGGGGGTTTGGCCATGCCGCAGTCCCTTCCCATCCATTCTCCTCTCGGGATCTTGGGCATGCACACACACGCACCTGGTGTGAGTTTAAGCCACCTGGTCCGGGACTCGAACCGCGGTTGACTACCTGGGAGTCCAGTGACAGAGCCATTATGCTAACTGCTAGTCCCGATATAAGTATGTTCAAACTGCATTACGTATTTTAATTTAATCGAATGTTGGCATTGTTCAGTAGATACCCTTAAGTATAGGAGAAGCTGGCCTATGTGACATTTGGATGCCCTGAGAATTCTTTATTTTTCCTTGTAGTTATTCATTCGTTGTTGGATATCTGCCGTGTTATTTCCAGTATGGACCATGCATTTCATGCCAATACATGGAAGTGTGTAATTAAGTGAGTTTGTTTTTTACTTTCTATAAGCCATTTTCATATCAAGTCTTCATTGTTCTTAAGTTTTCTTGGCTTGCACTCAGAACATTGTGTCAGTATATACAATGCTCACTGACACTGTCCGCTAACCCAGACGTCCTAGGTGGGGCTCCCAAACCAAACTGGACTTCTTCACCTACTGCCTTTAAAACTAAAAAACAAAACAAAACAGAAACCACCTATTTTTCCCAGCTAGCTAGTACTTCTGCAATAAGTACTTCTGGGTCATGGGCCAGACTGCACCTTTCCCATTTGCCTGCTGCTACTGTGGTTAAACTTTCAGTCCCCTATTTCTAGGCTTCGATAGTTAGCTGTTCAATTAGAGCTGAACATGATCCCTTTGTTATGGATTAAGTTTTCCAAACTTAATTCTATTTATAAAGTAACTTTAACTTCCTGAAACTGGAGCATCTTGGAGGATTAGTAGGGAGGGTGCCCATAGCACTGAGGGTGCCTGTGGCGTTCATATTCTTAGGAGCAGGAGGAGATATGGTTGAGTATGGAAATGGTTAAGAACCTCTAACACATGCTCAAATAGTGAAGGTCAGAGTACTATTTCAGGTCTCTGTGCAGTGGTAGGCATGTCACCTCAGAGCCTTTCTGCATGTGCTTGACTCTGTTCTGAAATCACTTCCTTCTCTAAACCCTTGGGCGATTCGGTTTATTTCGCTGAACCTGAGTTGATCTGAAAACTGAAGTAATAGTAGTGGCACTTTCTTGGTAAGGTTGTAGTGAAGATTAAGTTCATCAGGTTTGAGTGAAAGGTTAGAGCTGTGTAAGCCACAGAGCCGGTGTGCAGTGAGTCAGCCACGTTGCTGTTCTCCGTGAGTGTCTTCCACTCTTGCCCTTGCAGTCCACCTTGTACCCAGCATTCAGAGAGATCTTTTTATAAAAGTCTGGTCTTGTCACTGTGTTGTAGAATCTACCCCATTTTATTGAGTCACAGCTTCATCCTCCCTAGATCCTGTTTTCCTTCTCTAGCCCAACCACACTGCTCCGTGTCTGCTCTTAGCTCCTCAGATGTGCCAGACTCCTGTCCCAGAGCCTTTTCTTTTTTAGTTTTTGCTATACTACACGTGCCATAGCCAGAGGGAGAGAGAAAGTAAGAAAGCACCCCCTCAGGTGGACGACCATGCTGCAGTCCCTTCTCCTTCACTCTCTTCTTGGGATTTTGGGTATGCATTGCACATGCACCCAGCATGTTTTTTAAGCCACCAGTTCTGTGACTCGTACTGCGCGGTTGGCCCTGTGGGCTCCAGCACCTCCTCCTCCACACCACCAGTTGGCCCCAGAGCCTCGTCTGGGGTCTCCCGTCTGCGTGGGATGCTCCTCTCTGCTCTGCATGGCTAGCTCCTGCTGCTCTCAGTCCCCCGCTTACATGCTACATCTTCATGATGCCATTCCCTTAATAATAAGGTGGATTAGGACTCTATTGTAGCACCTTAGACTTTTCCAATCAGCGTTTATTACAGCCTTTGCTTAATTATTCTCTCACTTACTTAATGTTCTCTCTCAGTACTGGACCAGAAGTTCCGCGGAGATTGTGTCTATTTAGCTCCTTGTCCCTAGGACCTAGCAGAATGCCTGACTCATAGTAAGAGTTCAGTTAATATTTTACACACACACACACACACACAAATTCACACTTACTTAAACATAACTGCTTCAAAATACAGTTAGCTAATCTTAGTTACACCATGTCTAATACACACAATACATTGTAATTTTTAAAATTTTATTTATTTTCCATCAGTGAGAGAGAGAGACAGACAGAAATGCCATCTGGATCTTTATGCCCCAGCCCCAGCTTTAGCCAGCCAGGGTCCCCAGCACACACGTGGGCCCAACCCATTCAGGAAGGCCTGGATGTGAGAACCTGTGACCCTCCCGTGTGGGCCCAGCATCACAGAGTTGCATGTTGCTGCATCACTGCCTGGTCCCATCATGATGCTTTTCAGTGTTCTGTATCGTAGATATTTTTATGGTCCTTGATGTGTAGCTTGTGTTGATTGTATTCTTTTCTTTTTATTCATTTAGACAGAGCCTTAAGCACCAGTCGGTTATAAAGAACCAGTTGAAACACAAAGATATCATTACTAGTCTGTGTGAAGACATCCTTTTCTCCTTCCATTCTTGTTTACAGCTAGCCGAGCAAATGACACAGTCTGAAGCACAGGTAAGATGCAGTCTAGCGGCACCTTAAGCAGCAACTCTACCCCCTTTGGCACTTGCTAGGTCTTATTAGATCAGTCCACTTGGGAGGATTTAAATTTATTTGTTTTGTTTTTAATCTGTGGGATTATATGGCCCCACGATTATTTTTCTGTCACCCAGAACATTGCATTAGACTTCTGACTGCTCTCGGTACCACTAGAGCCTACCCATCCTCCACTTCTCATACTGGTTGGCAGATTCTCTGAATCCTTTCATCCTTTTCTACTCTAGAATAGAAATCTGATTTTTGTCCTTTATTTATTTAGGATCTTGATATAACCAGCCAACCTTTCTGTCTTCATCAGTGAATTGCAACCTTTATTTATACAAGTATATTGTGTGTGTGAGTGTGTGCGTGTCAGTCTTTTACAATTGGTGTACACGGGGCCAGCCAGTGGCATGGAGGTTGAGTGGCTGGATCCCACACAGCGACTGCACTGGTCTAGTCCTGTGCTCAGTGGCTGGAAAATCATGCCAGGTACATGTGTGTGTTCTCAAAATCCTGAGCAGAGAATGCAGACCTAATCCACCTTATTATTAAGGGAATGGCATCATGAAGATGTAGCACGTAAGCGGGGGACTGAGAGCAGCAGGAGCTAGCCATGCAGAGCAGAGAGGAGCATCCCACGCAGACGGGAGAGCCCAGACGAGGCTCTGGGGCCAACTGTTGGTGTGGAGGAGGAGGTGCTGGAGCCCACAGGGCCAACCATGCAGTATGAGTCCCCCCACCTAGGGGATGATTTCTCACTTTCTCTCTCTCCCTCTCGCCACCCCCCCCCCAGTGACCGTATGAGCACACATGTCCCGTGGCAAAACTTGACCAAAAAAAAAAAAGTGTGCATAGTCATCTCTCCTAGGACTCTCCTTGGATATAAAATCCGGGCATGTGCCAGTTTCTTATTAAAATGGTGTAGTGTTTGCATACAGCCTACACATATCCTCCTGTGTACTTTAGCTTGTTTATAATACTGGTAGGTAGTTATTTTACTGTGTTTTTTGAAGTTGTATTGTTTTATTATTGTTTTTGTTAGTGTGAGTTTTTTGTTCTGAACATTTTTAATCTGTGGTAGGTTGGATCTGTGGGTGTGGAACTCATGGTAATGGAGGACTGGGCATACTTATGCTTAATTTGATTTCAGAAAGATATGTTAATCGACATCCCATTTATGAAACAGATCATGTTCTAAAAATGTGATTATAATTATTGGGAATTACAACTCATTTTCCTATATAGATTACTGATAATACGTCTTGTTCTCAGACTGTCCCTCTGACGCTGTTTAACCCATACTGCCCCTAACCTAACAGGGTTAGCAGCCCTGAAGACCTCACGGTGGTGCGTCATTCAGGGGAAGTGGCACAGCCCCTCCTGCCGTGGACTGCCGCCGATCTGGGAGTCCCTTTGCCTGCTTGTCCTCTCCTTGGCAGCTGTGGGGGTGAGGTTCAAGGGCTCATTCAGGTCCTGGAGCAGAGGTGATCTGGAAGGAGAACCCGAGGGAGGGCTGGACTTCAGCTAAGAGTTTGAATGGTAGTACGGTGAGAAGAACGGGAGAGGTAGCTTTGGGAAAGGGTAAGCCTTTCCCTTCTCTCGTTTGCCTTCTTTGTACATTCCTTCTTTTGTTTCTTCATGTACCTATCTGAGTCCTTCCATGTGGGTGAAAGGACTCGGTTGGTATCCTGCATCATTATTCCATTCTCTACCTTTAAAAAGCTTTGTTACTGTGTTTTTAAAATTCTTTTCTTTTCCTTTTTTTTAAATTTGCCCAAGGGTGCGTGTACTTGCCAGGGAAAGACGGGCGGGGCTGTGTGTGAGAAAACACTCCTCGGGAGGCACAGTGCCATCTTTGCTCCTGTTGGGATTTGGGAATGCACCTGGCATGTTTCTCAAGCCACCCCGTCAGGAACTCAGCTACGCAGTCGGCTAGGATGTGGGATCCCCCCACCGTACCCGTCACACCACCTTTTTGTTCATGTTGACAGCGCAGACTACCCAGCCAGTACGCAGACAGTAAGATCAGACAGATTCCTGGACGAGTGTAAGATGGAGAGGCCTAGCCACGGTGGTGCAGGCAGTAGGTGCCTTTGTGTGATGCTGGGCCCTTGTGGGAGTCCCAGGTTCAAATCCTGGACTGATCTGAACACTGTGGGTTCTTTCTGGCTAACAGGCTTGGGGAGAATCGCAGCATGGTAAGACCCTGATGAGAGTAGCCAGTACCCTTCAAGAGAGAAAGTAAACTTAAATGAAAATAAAACAGAAGTTCAGCTTACGCGTGAAAACCAGAGAATTTAAATTGTAGGTTCTCCCAACTGCCTAAGCAGATTGTCATGTTTTTCCCACTTACACCACTTTGGGACTGGTGAATGTGCCCACTCTGTTCACTGCGTGGCCTGAAAAGGAGCTTTGCCGTGGACATCCTGCTTCTCCTTCCTCTGAACTCTGTCAGCACTGCCCTCTGCTGTCCAGGATGGAAGATGGAAATTTACTTAGGAGCCAGACTGTGAAGTTCTCCAAGCAGTTTTTCACTTGGCATCTGAGTCCATTCTGGTTGCTCTAACACAAGACCCTAAGTTGGGTGATTTAAGAAACAGAAGTCCAGGATTTAGACGCTGAAGGATTCCATGCCTGGTGAGACTGGTCACTACTTCAAAGATGGTGCCTTCTCTCCGTGTCCTCACATGTTAGAAGGGTACAGCAGCTCCCTGCAGCCTCTTAGGAGGGCACTAACCCCAGTCACCAGGGCAGAGCCCTCTGACTGAATCTGTCCCAGAGGCCCAACCTATTAATGCTGTCACATGAGGACGAGGTTCCAGCATTTGAGTTTGGGGGACACCTGCATACTGTAGGACCTTAACTTTAGTCCAGTTTAACCCACTATATTTAAATAATATTATGCTGTTTATGGATACAAGGGCTGTTAGTTTTCTGGGGCTGCCATAACAAAGGAACACAAACTAGGTGTCTGAAAGCAACAGGAATTTACTCCTGTGGTTCTAGAGGACGGAAGTCCAGAATTGTGCCCCCCAGGGTCATGTTCTCCAGGGCCTGGGGAGAGCCTGTTCAGTGCCTTTCTCCGGCTCCTCCCTGCCGTCCTGGCCTGCAGCCACACAGCCTCCCTCTGTCTGTTGTCACATGGTGCTCTGTCCTGAGTCTTCACACCCCTCCTGTTGGACCGAGGGCACTCCTCAGTCTAGGATGACCTTGGCCTCACAGACTGTCTGCAGTGACCCTGTCTAGAAAGGGTCACACTCTAAAGTGTTAGGGCTTAGGACTTAACATAACTTGTAGGGTGGGGATGCAGTTCAGTCCACAACAGCCTCTAAAATTGCTAAGATAATTGTTCTCTATGAAGTCTTGAAATTGGTTTCAAAAAGATAATAATTGTATTAGACTTTCAACATATAGCATTTTTTTTTATTATTATTATTATAAATTTTTCTTTTCTCATCACAACACACATATGAATTTTCCATCCAAAATACACTGTGCATTGGCTCAATCAAGCACATCAACATATATGTTCTCAGCAAATGATTTCCCAATTTTTGTGTCCTGCATACCTTGCCTTTTGTTTTGCCATCCTAGGTTCCCCATCCCCACCCTCTGCCATGTCCCATCTTCCTCCTCCATTGTCCCTGACATTCATGATTGCCCTCAATGGCTTCCGCCCCCCCCCATTCAATTGTTCTACCAATGAACTCAATTAGTCTAAGTATATCCACTAGCTAGCACAGCTGACATATCCTTACACATGTATCCAAATCTGATCCTAGGCATAAACCCCAGGGAGTAGAATGAACATATTATAAAGTAGACCCCAGTTGTGTCCATACAACTCTCTTCAGTCATCAAATGTGCATTTTTTTCCTCCTG